ACGAGATATTCGGTAATTTCATAAGGTGTAAGATGATCTTGTACTGAGCATTTTTCCATAATATTTAATTTAACCGCCAAGTATAAGGGCTACAAATATGTCTGTATGTGGTTAATCTGTTTGACGGTAGAACAATGAATTGAACCATGCAACATATTCGTCTCCTGAAACAGAGCTGTCAGTAAGGAATTATTTTTTGTAAAACATCTAAATGTTCAATATCTTCCTTACGAACATATGTTGTACTGCTTGCAAACATTGAATATATTCTCTTATAACTTTAGGAGCAACGTGGCTAACCTTTTGTTCTAATTGTTGGATCTTTTTTTCTGAATCTTTAATTTCTGATTCAAGAGAACCCTTGATAACGGGAGTGAATCATTTGGAAATACCAAACCAAAGAAGATATCTACCTTTTCATCATGTAGAGTTTGAGAAGATGATGGTCTATTCTTTTTGATGGTACATGTCTTAGTAGATGTTGGTTTTCTAGTCATTTTTTTTACAAAATTTGAGTTAATGAAAAAGTTGAGCCTTAAATCTTCAACAAGAAATATTTGTTGGAATCAAAGCTTAGTAATTTTATTCACCAAAAGCGTCGTTTGCTTGGAATTTTACTGATCATGGAAACGGGATAAGAAATATGATTATGACAGAGCATCACTGAAGTAAATATTTACAAATAATTTATTTAAAAAGTAAAAGAAAACAAAGTTATTCATCTTCCATTTCATCAACTTTTGCAGGTGACGATGGTCTTTCAATTTCTTGAGGATTGCCACCTAGTCTTTCTTCTTCTTGCAAAACTTTGAGAGCTTCGTTCTTTGAAATCAATTTGATTGAAGAAACCTTATTCTTGAATGAAATACCATAAAAGTTTTCAGCTGTTTCTAAAACTTCTGGTTTGAACGTTGCTGTAATAAATTGAATCTTTTCCTTCGTTGAAAGAGTATCAATCATATTGGCAACGGATGTTCTGTAGGCAGGATCGAGAGCAGCATCAATTTCGTCGAATAAATAGAATGGTGCAGGGTCACAACGTTGGATAGCAAAAATAAGACAGAGAGCTACAAGTGACTTTTGACCACCTGAAAGCTGTTGCATGAGATGGTATGATTGATCTTCTTCAGAGTCACCACTTGACATGAAAGAGACCTTGATGGAAACACCAGCATATTGTTCAACTTCCTTTGCTTCTTCATCTTCTTCTTCTTCCTCTTCTTCATCTTCACCATTTCTATATTTCATAGACAGAGAAGCATGACCACCTGGAACAAGATTTTGGAAAATTTCTTGGAAGTTTTTTTGTACCTGCTTAAATGTTCTTACAATTGCTTCATCCTTTCTCTTATCTAAAACTTGGATAAGTTCATTAATTGCTTTAGCACTGCTATCAAGTTCACTCTTCTTTTCCAGGAATTCTTCCTTTTGATTACTGAATTGTTCGTATTGATCAAGAGCCTTCTTGTTGACATGACCGAATTTCTTCAGCTTTTCGTTGGTATTGTGCAATTTCTTGAGCAATAACTTTTGATCAGTTTCAAGATATTTTCTAAAGTCTGATGGAAGGGTTCCCAATTCTTTGATTTGTTTAATACATTCTTCCTTCTTTTGAGACCAAATCTTCTTCTTGTTGAGAAGTTTTTCAAGAGAACTGGCCTTTTCTTGAAGAGTTTGTAATTTCTTTGTTTCTTCAGACTTTTCAGTTTCCAATTGTTCTTGCTTATTTCTGATGGTTTCGCCCAACTCATCAATTTCTTGATCAAGTCTCTTAACTGATTCAGTTGTATCTTTAATTCTTTCTTCTGTAACTTGCTTCTCAGTTTGGAGTTGCATTAAAGTTTGATGAGAGGATGAAATAGAATTATCTGTTGGGAGAGTTTCTATCAAGACTTGAAGTTCGGACTTTCTTGGAATATAGTTTGTAGTCAATTGAATTCTAAGACTTTCTTTCTTGGTTTCTTTTTCTAATCTGTTCTTGGAGACACCTTGTAACTTGGTTGTCAGTTCAGTAACAGACTTTGATAACTTTTCAAGTTCTTGCTTTTCTCTAGAGTTGAGTGTAGCATCTAGTGGTAAATCCTTTTCCTTGGTGTATGATTCGATGGTTTCCTTGTTGGAAGAGAGGATAGATTTGACCTTCTCCAACAATTCTTCGTTTGAACGAAGATTGTCCTTGATAAGATCTCTTCTTACAGTAAGGTTGTGAATTTCTTGTTGTTCGTATTGAATGGTATTCTTAGAGTTGTGAACTTCAGATTCAACCTTGTGTAAATCAGTAATACAACTGTTGAGTTGTTCTTCGAGAGTGGCAATTGAAGCCTTAATCTTCTTGGACTTATCAAAGCTTTCAGAATATGTCTTTCTCAAATCCTTGATTTGTTTCCAACAATCTAATCTGGATTGTTTTTGTTCAATATAACCACCAGTAAGAGTACCCTTTCTATTAGCTTGATCACCAGCAAGAGTTACACAGTTTACATTGTGATCTTTAGCAAATTGAGCGCCATCTTCCAATGTTTTGGTACAGAAAGTCTTTCCAAACAAACTCTTGACAACTTCATTAAACTTTGAATCAGCATCGATCTTCTTCCAAAGAGGAATGAATTCAGATGTACCAATACTGTCATCACTGTCCAAAGCTTTTAATCTGTTGAGTGGGATAAAGGTAACTCTACCAGGAGCATTACTTTCATTCATAATTTTGATGATATCACCAGAAACTTTTTCATTTTCTACAACAACATGGTAGAGAGAATTTCCAGCAGTAACTTCAACAGCTCTATGGTATTTTGGATCACATCTAATTAATTCAATAACTGTACCATAAACTCCAGAGAGATTTCTTTCCTTTTTGATAGTATTTACAGAACGAACACCAGATGAAATAGACTTTGGGAAAGTCATATCTAACTTTCTTTCAGCTCTGACAAGTTCGTCTTGAAGTCTTTGTGTTTCCTTTTCAACATCATTTTGTTCCTTCCATAATTCTTTCTTTTGATTGGTAAGATTATCTCTACGATCCTTTAAGTTTACATAATTTCTTTGGTATTGTTCAATTTTCTTTCTATTGTCAGAGAATGATTTTTCCTTTTCTTGAATAGTTCTTTCATAGGTAGAAAGTGCTTCTTTAAGTTTTTTAACATCAGAAGTTCTTGTTGTAATTTGTTCATCATAACTTGCGTTAACTTTTTCTAATTTGTTAATTTCTTCAGTTAACCATTTGTTTCTGTCTTTTACATTATCAAACTTATTCTTTCTACCTTGGATACTCAAAAGTTCGTTCATTCTTCTTTCACTTTGTTGTAATTTATCAGAAATTTCCTTTTCTTCTCTAACCAATAAATCTAATTGTGGAATCAGTTCATCATTCAATTGTGAGTTCAAATCATTGATCTTTTCATCTATTTCCCTAAGTTCTTCTTCAAAGTCATTACGAGTGCTTTCATCATCTTTATGTAATTGTTGGTAGTCTTTTAATTCTAGGTCAACCTTAGTTCTTTGTCTGATTAAGTCTTGTCTTTCACTTTCTAAAATTTCTTTTTCTTTTTGCTTAGTATCCTTTTGAAGTTTAGCAGTTTTAATATCCCTTTCGTAGTCCTTTAGTTTTTGTTGTAAATGCATCTTGTCCATATGCAATTGATTAGCGAGGGTATGTTGACTTTCTCTAGCTTTTTCTATTTCTTCTAAATTTTTAGTTGCTTCGCTTAGTTCTTGTTCGAAAATGGCATATTCTACACATCTTCTATCCTTGTCAAGCTTTTGGAATTCTTTAAGTTCTTCTTTTTCTTGCTCTAGTTCATCAAGACGACCTTGTACATATTCAATAACTTCATCAATTTTTTGTTTCTTTTGTTCAGTATCTTTCATGATTGTTAATGATTCTGCTCTCTTTTGATCGTAAACTTTAGTTCCCGCAATTTCTTTTAACAATTCAAGTCTTTCCGCATCCTTCATAGTTGTCAAACTAGAGACTTTACCTTGTTCTACAATATAGTATGGATTACTTGAACTGAGACCAGCAGATTCCAATAAATTAAATACTTCACGTTGTGTCACAGCTTTGCCATCAATTCTATATTCGTCTTTCTTTAAACCAATGGTTCTTCTAATAGCCACTTCTTTGCTATCTGTTGGTAATCTGTTGTCAGAATTGTCAAAAACAATTTCAACAAAGGCAGAAATGACACCTCTACCTGTACCTTCATGCAAAAAGGCTTGTCTTTCTTCGCTTCTGAGTTTACTAAACTTTTCACTCAGTACGAACGAGATGGCACTGAAAAAGTTGGATTTACCACTACCGTTTCTACCAACGATTATATTCTGTGAGGCTGAAAATTCTTGTGAAGTGAAAGTTTGATCACGATATGATTTAAAGCCTTGTATCGTTACAGATTTAATGTGCATTGTTATATGTGTTGTTTAAATAATAAATTAGTGTTGTTGTTGTTTTTCCTGGGCCGCTCGTACTATCTAGGTTATTGATGATTATCAAAAGATGATGATAGTCTTTTTAACAAGCGGAAAGATGATCCAGGTGTTTGATATGATGGTATTTTTTTGTGTTGAATTTTTTTTAAATGTGGCGGGAAAGATTAGATATTTGGCGCCATTCTAGAATAGCCTGGACTTTTATTTCTTTTGCTTTCTATCGTGAAGTTGTCTTAAATTCTGAATCATGTTCCACAATAAAAGTTTGTCTCCCAATTTAACTACACCCACATCTTTCATATCTTCTTCTCTTATTAACAATAAAGCTCTTCCGGTAATATTCTGAGATTGAAAATTCTCAACAAATTTGCTAAAATCAATTGAAATGAGCCAAATTCCTACATCGTTTGTTGTCCAATCAGATATTGATTTTTGCAAGAGTTTGTGGAGTGACTTTTCATGACCTCTTTTAACTTGTGTGGAAAATTCTTCTGGAAGCATTTCATTATTGCTTGATGAGGATTCATTGTGGTCTTTCAGTGATTGGCTTTCTTTTTCATGATTTTCTTCAACTTCAATTTCTTTGAAAAATGTGCTTAATCCATGGCTTGTGAGAACATTTCTACTTTCGATTGTCATGGTGGATGTTAGTTTGTGGGTTGCTTTTGGTTCTGGTTTAGTATATTTTTTGTTATCAGCTCCAAGCTCTATAAATACTGGATTGGATATTTTACGAATACTTTGTGATTCTTCTACTTTCTCTATCAATGCATTCACTTTATCCCTTTCGTTTTGTAAGAGCGCCAAGTTACTTAGACTTGCATTTTCAATTAATTTGTTAGGGATATTGGCAGCGGTGGGTGTTGCTGCATGGAGTTGTTCCAATCCTTTCTTTTCCACAGAGAAGGGAGATGGATGAAACTCTTCAAGGCTCTGGTCATAGTGAACCTCAGCGTTCTCCACTGATCTAATATCTTGATTGAGTAGGCCATATAATTGTTGAGCCTTGGCTCGTTTCCATGGTTCAATAACAAGGCACTTTTTAATGAATTCTATTATATTGTCATCATAGTATGACTCCAGTGGTCTTAGTATATCATTCAAAAAGTTAGGATTATTCTTAATTTCTTGATAATAGTCCACATGTCTCATATCATGATCCATATTGTCCATTGAATTACTTGACTTTACAACCATCGAATACGAATATTGTAAAACCATTTCTAATGCAATACATCCTAAACTCCAAATATCCACAGTAGAGTCATATCTTTTACCCAACCGTTGCTCCTATATTGAGATTTTAGAAATATTAATTGATAATTACTTACAGGTGCCATCCATCGTCTGGTTCCCCAAGCCGAGTTATTTCTATTGAGTTCTTCTAACTTTATGGAAAGTCCCATATCTCCAATTTTTACATGACAAGCGTCAAAATATGATGGAGGTGTTCCAATTAATGTGCTAGATGGTTGTAATTCAGTGTTGCTATGAAGGAAAATATTCTTTGTAGAAATATCCCTGTGCATTAAATTTCTTCTATGAATATAATCTGTTGCACAAATCAACTCATTGAGCCACTTTTTAACTGTTGAATTTTTAAAGTAAGTATTGCATTCTCTACAGTATCTCATGGCTTTTCTCAAATCTCCTTCAGAACAATATTCCATTACAATTCCAATGTACCAAGTCTCGTTAGCATAATCCTTGAAATCGTACTCATCCTCCTCGTCATCTTCCTCATCAAAATCATGCTCATCCTCACTATCTGAAAGATTTTCTGAGGTAATTATTTTCTTATCTTCTCTATTCTCACAATAAATAAACCAGTTGTAAATTTTACAAATGTTATCATTGTCATTGAGTGAGAACATGGCTGAAATTTCTTTGGAGGCCAACATGGTATCATTATTATCCTTCATTCTAATACGTTTGATTGCTACAAATCTATTATTTTGGCTATCGAATGCTTTGATGACAGTTCCCTGACTACCACTCCCAATTACTGAAATTATTGAGTATTGATTGGCAATTTTAGCTTGGAGTATTTTGAGATCTACCTCTTCTTGATGTTCAAAGACTCTGGTGTGGTTTCTCAATTTCAACTCTTCCTCCAAGGTTTTTTTACTAGATCTTCTGTTATCAACTTCTGTTTCTTGTATATGTGCAATTTTCATTAGTTTTGTTTTCATAGTTGCTAATTTTAGTTTCTTCTTTTTCTTGTCTTTGATTTTGTAGTGCTTATTAACGTATCTCATAATTGTTCTACCTATTGAAATAAGAGAGGGAAGAACAGCTGGGCCATCCATACTTGATAGTGGTAAAATGTCGTAGCTGTTACTATTTCTTGTTGGTAATCTGTTACCAGATTGTTTTTCACTTGCTCCATCCTCACATTCATATAAATCGCTCAAAATACTTCCCAATTCCATGTTTACACGAATATCGTCTAATCTTTTCTGATATTGATTAACATCATTTTCGTAAAATGAGGTATTGAAAGTTGAACTGGTTGTTGTGGATCCAGAAATACTTCTATATTTCTTTAAAAGAGCAAGTTGTTGACATAATTCTCTCATGTTAGGTCTGCAACTTGGGTCATAGTGACAACATCTCCAAATAAGTGCACTAAATCTATCATTATATTGCTTACTTATCAACTGGAATATAGAAGAAACAAAAGACTGGTCATTGTCTAAGAAGCTATGCGTGATAACATTCATATTTTTCATAGTGATGATTGTAATCATCAAGATGCCAAATAACCACACTTCAGTTTTAAAATCATACCTACAAACACCTCCATACCTGTCTCCTCCCAAGTCTAGAGGTGTAAATGAGTGATATATTGGCTTATTTGAAGTGGCTTCAAACATTCTCTCACTTGGTTTGTCAATACTTGGAGATTTCATTGGATCAGCACTTGCAAGAATTTGTGGTGTAATAAGTAGCATGTTTCCTATTTTCATACTTTCTTCAAGTTTGGAGAAAAATATAGAGTTCACGTCAATATTTCCATGCACAGTCTCAAGTTGCTCATGAATATTTGCTAATCCATCAGATAATTGGCTCAACCATTCTAATAAAATTGGGTAAGAAAATTTCTTTTCCTCTATTTTAGTCTTTTGAATAATTTTGTACATTAATAAACAAGGCTCTACGAAAATGTAGAATATTGAGCCAGCTGATGAAATGTTTCCAGTATTGAAATCGATAGACTCAATATTATTTTTGTTCAATTGGATTTCAGCAACGTCCAAAAATCTGATTATTCCAGTTACATTATCTATTAAAAGTAACTTTTTCGATCTTTCTCTGTATGTTTCTACAAACTCTGCACTAACTAATTGACTTATTACATTCACTTTCTCATTTGTTATGGTATTAATTCCATCATAAAAGTATTTATCAGTAATACCACTTTCATTCTCAGGTAAATTCTTAGTAATATTACCGAAAACCATTTCAATGGTTTTAGAATTAGATTTTAATGGATACTCGGTGTCTGTATAAATCGAATAAGGACCAATATTTACAGTATTTTCCTTCTTCTCTACATTTTGAGTTAATAGTTCGTTTACGCTTGGCAAAGGGCTTTGAAAAAACTCATTCCTCACACTTGAAGGCTTTCCATCCTCTATCAAAAGTTCACTTTCTTCAATTACTCCCGCTGTATCATTCTCTAGTTTAGTTTGTTGTTGATTTGTTTGATTTATCTCAAATTGATCAAAAGTAATATGATTAAATTTTCTCAAACTTGAAAAATCTGGCAATGGAAACTCTTCCAATGACAATGTTTGCTGATGAGGTGATTTCTCTTTGGTATTTGGTGATTTTACAAAAAGTGAGCTTGTTCTCATTTTGGGTGTTGGTGACAAGCTCATTTCGGTCGAAGTTGTTGTAGCTCGGGGTGTTAAAAGTAAATTATTATCAATATCATTATTTGGATTGTTATTATTCGAAACAACAAGTGATTTCTTTCTTGATGATGGAGTATAAAATATCAATGAAGAAGGTGTGTAGATGTGACTATTATCTTCCTTTCCATTTAATTCGAATAATGAAAAATGTTTTGATTTAAATTTTCTTTCGTGATGGGTTGTTGACTTTTGACTTGATTCTTGGTTGTTAATAAGAGTTGTTGGCGTTACGAAATTATTGTCGGATTCTATGGATTCAATGGTTGATGAAGAATGAATCGGAGTAGAAATTGGAGATGGATTAATTATATTGTCTGGTGGAGATGATTGAGAAGTTTGAATGAATTCCGATTGTGTTCTTCTATGTTGCGTTTGAGAAGGTGTTAATGGAGGTTCCTGGTTGTTGTCGTTAATCATTTTTAATTATTAAATTATTTTTTTTTCAAGAAAGGAGGTTGAACATTAGAAATCCTGAAAGGATTGACTGATCCAGATCCCTGTTGTGAAGCGTTTGGATTTGATTGTTTTTGAGAGAGGGCAAACTGCAGAGCCTCCTTCAGTAAAATTACTTCTCTTTCCAACTTTCTTTCATGATCAGATTTTTCAGGAGGTAGCTCACTAGGCTCGTTCATAAATTCACTATCATCATCTAGGCTGTGGACTTCATATTCTTCCTCATTCAGCTAGAAGCAATTGAATGAGAGACTATTCCTAGTTTTTGTTTTAGTTCTTGGTTTTCTTTTGATAATTTTTCAAACTGAGTTCTGTATATTTTTTCTCCTTCTGTTAAGTTTTTCTTTTGTGCTTTCAGCTCGTGTACAGTTTTTGTTAGTGATTCAACTCTAGTTTGTAATTCTTGAATTTGCTTTTGATAACTATCTCTTTTGACATCATTTACAAGCTCTGAGATTTTCTTCTTGTATGTATTCTCACGTTTAGTCATTTCTTTCTTTACCTCAGAGTTCTCAATCTCCAATGATTTAATTTGGTTTTTTAACTTTGTTAATGTTCCTTCCATTACCTCTCTGTATCTGTCTAGTTCGCTGCTAGCACTCGTATTCAGTATCGATTTGGAAGAAGAAGGTCTGGCCATCTTTTTTGAAACCCGTAATCCATCATCGTCTTTTGGTTTTGTTGGCGATAGAGCATTAATTTGAATCGTTTGCTTTTCTTGTTTTTCTTGGATCTTCCTTAATTGGTCCTCTATTGCCTTCATCTTATCAGAAAGTTCTCTGTTTTCTCTTGTTAAGGCGTCAACTTCTTGAGTTTTCTTTTCTAGATCTGAATTAGTGGTTTTCCTTTCTGTGGCTGAACTTGTTTTAGCAGAGCTCTTGGTTATTGTCTTTTTCGTTTCAACACTAGCTGGCGTTGTCTTACATATTCTGTTGCATATTGTTAAAGTTTGAACAACAAACTTGTAACTTTCATGAAGAGGGCTAAGATTGAACAATGAAGTGCTGTCCTTGTTTCTCATTAGAAAATCTCTAAGAAGAAGAGTAAATTTTGATTTGTGAAATGGAATTGAGGGATTCACAGAATTGTGTAATGAATTCATGCAACTACCTAAGTGGTTAACCCAAAAATTAGCTACTTCCATTTCTTGGTTCTTTTCCACTGAAGATTGAGGTTTAATTGTAGGACTCCCAACTGAAACCATGCTTAAAATGCCGTATTCTCCTTTTGTAAAATTAGATTTGCAAGCATTGCTAATATCAATCCTGATATTTATAACTAAATGCTTATTCTGACCCATGGAGAGGGATTTATAAAATTTTGATCTAAGAAATTTGGTAACTTGAAACTAAAATCCACTTACGTTGATTCATAATAAACTTGAAGAGCTTGTTGAATATCGTACAGTTCTATTAAGGTTCCACCCTCTGCTATTATTCCTTTCTTTTTATCATCTCTCAATTTTATTTGAGAACTGGAATCACTAGGCAAGTTGTCGAATATCGTTTCCTTCTCAATAGTGAAGGAAGAGTAAAATAGTCTACATTTGTTTGAAGGATCCTCACCAGCTGGTTAAATGATAAGTTAACAGAAATAGATTATTAATCCTACCTATTGTGTCAAATAAAAGCTCAATAGTTCTATAGAAAAATCCTGGATATTCAGGTAATCCTTCTAGTGAAAATCGTTTTCCAGCAAAATCACTTCCGAAATAAAGAACAGCACAATCCTGAGCCTGAAAGCATTTCTCAATCAACGGAACTACTTCATTAGCAAAAATATCAAATTGTGTTGCACTGCTATCATAAATATGTTTACATTCGAAGGTTTTTCCATTTTCCCTAACATTATTTTCATACACTGTAAAATGTTCCAAATCCGTTGCTTCATAATAATAGTTTGGTGAGGGAACCTCTGATGTTTCCCTTCCGGTCTTCAATGAATTATTAATATTATTATTATTATTGGTCGGATAAGTATGATGAGGGCATAACCTCACAACTGCTCTCATTTTTTTTAATGCAAATTTGTAGGCAAGTTGGCGCCAAAATTATACTTCCAAAACAGTAAGGCAATATTGTGATGATGAGCAATATAAGAAATTTCTCAATTTAAATACTCGTTCAAATAATTATCAGATCTAATACCTATTTGAAATATTAAAATTAATTTAATTAAAAAAAAATGAAAAAAAAATAATCATCACTCAATGTTCCCAAATTCCAAATTTATAATCATACAACCACATGTGGTTGGATTGGAATTTGCGAGGAATCAAACAAGAATTTGTCAATTAATTTCTCATTACGAACCAAGGTTGGAATATGTTATTGGATACAATTCCGAACCTACAGCTTTAGATGTGAATAGTATCGGAAGAAATGATAGTTTTAAGCATTTATTTATTTATATGAATTTTAGTAATGAAAAGATATTGGAGAAATACATAAATCAACAATTGAAAGAAAGTAGAATTAGTTTTGATAATATTAATATTCTGTTTTTGGAAGGGGGTGGGAAAATGTCTAATAATTTTGAATTGGATGATGAATTCCCATTCACAGTTGGAATGAATTATCTAAAATCAGATAATATCAATTTACTTTCAAAAATGATAAATCAACCAGCATCTACATTCTTGGAGCTTCATTTCGAAACGAAACAAGTCAACTTGGGAGGATATTTGTTTTTGGATAAGTCAGAAAATCAAAGATTATTTGAGATATTAAAATCCAATTTCTCCCAACATATCGAAACATACATAAAACAAGAAAATTTAATGGAACTAAAAGAAATAATAGAACATTTATTAATTTGCTTGATATTGCTTAAGAAATCTAAATATTCAAAAGGAATAATAATCAGAAGAAAAGAAACGAAGTTTATTTCCAAAATATCCAAGAATGTGGAATTGTGGAATAAATTGTTCGATCAAGTGAATGAGTTTTTGAAGAGTTTGAATAAGAAACTGCAAGATAGAAAAAAGCATTTGGGGGATCTATTTAATAATGCAAGCAAATACTCAAAGCTGTAACCAGATCAAATTTGATGGCTTAATTGGAATCAAAAATTGTTTAATTAGAATGTTTATACAAGAAAAGAGCAGAGCTGACCATCGAATCAAAATCATCCTTTGGTTTAGCAATAGGGTGATCATTCTCAGGATAAACAAGCATGCGTGCTTCTTTACATTTTCCTAATAATCTGAGAGAATGATAGAATTCTCTTGGTTGTTCTTTTGGAACTCTTCTGTCCACTTCACCAACAAGTAATAAAACTGCTGCAGTAACATTTGATACATGTGCAATTGGAGAACGATCATACATTTGAGTAAGCATTTCTTTTGTGACACAAGCTTCATCATAGTAATCATTTCCTAAAGATTCATTATAACACCAATCTGGGATATCAGATTCACTGAAAATTGTTGCAAGATTGATAACAGGATTAAGTAAAATGCCAGCTTTAAATTGAGATGGATATTGGCCAACTAAATGTCCTGAAAGGAAACCACCATGAGATCCTCCGTACACAGATACACTATTCTCATCAACTGGAATAACATTCTCATCCAAAATATATCTATAACTATTGTAGCAATCTTTAACATCCATATCACCAATATTTCCAGGAAGACATCCAGCAAAACTTTGAGAAAATCCAACACTACCTCTATAATTCAAAAGCAAAACAGCATAACCACAAAGAGCAAAATAAATAAATCTTGCAGCAAAGATGGTTGAGCAAGAGCCATGCGGACCACCGTGAGGGATTAATAAAAGGCTGTGCTTATCACTACCAGAACCATTTACGAATGACTTTGGACCTTTTGGAATATACAAGATACAGTCCATGTAAACCTTGGATCCCTTTTCTATTGGAATATGCAATACCTTCCAAGAAATTGATTCAAGTTTTTCCTTAATACCACTATCATTGAGCTCTGTATTGATGAGTGAGAGAGCATCTTCTATCAATGTAATATTTGATACTTCTAATGAATCATAATCCAATTTACCAACATAAATTTGATATGGCATAGTTGGAGTTGTCTTGTAGTAGAGTACTTTCTTTGATTGTGGTTCATGAGAAAGTAGCACATAGGATTCATAAGTGTTACTGTTGAAGAGTCTTCTAACATTGTTGGATGTCTTTTGAGTATCAATTACAACAATAGATTGGACACTTCTCCAAGTGGAATTCATAACAATATATCTGGAATCAGAGCTCCAACATGAAAGAGGCAAATCAATATTATACAATCCTGGGAAGGTGTTCATTGCCTCGATTTCATCATTACATTTAACTTCATCTACAATATCTACAATAACTTGAGAGTCCTTAGCTCCTTCAGTTGTCCAATTTACCACTACCAACTTGGAAGTGGAATTGTGATAATTTACACTATTTTCAATAGCTAAAAAGGCCAACTTTGTTCCACAAGGAGAAAAGACTGGTCTTCTTGGTCCTCTATATTCTGAGGCAATTTGTTTTACAGAAATTCTGTCACAGTAAAATAATTTGGCATCTCTTTGAACACAAAATCTAATACCTAACTTTCTGACAGGTCTTTCAAAAGCAGTATAAACAAAATTAGTTGATCCTGGAAGATAGTGTGGAGAACCAGCACTGTCAGTAGCAGGAATCAAGTCAATATGAGTTACCTTCTTTACCAAAATATCCAATTCATAAATATGTGGAGTTTTCAATAAAATTTGCTCTCCCCAATCCTCTTTAGCTTCATAATCATACTTATATTGATATGGATTATCATTTTCAGGTAGCTTGTCGTTAGTTCTACTATATTTTTCCCAATATGGCTTTACAAGTTCTTGTTTCATTTCAGCAACGTAGAGTAACTTGTTTTCACATGAAGACCAAGAAACTCTTCCAAAAGTTTCATCAGTAAATACCTTTCCATGAATATCCTTCACCAAAATTCTCAATTGCAAAACTTGATTAGAATAAATTTCAATTTGATAATCTAAAGCTGCTGTATTTGCATTTGGTTTACCATCAGAAGCAATACATTTAAAAACAGCCCTTCTCTTTCCACTTGGAGAAGTAGAAACTAAATGAATATCAGCAGGAGTAATTGATGGATATGGAGATCCAACAACTTGATGATCATTTACTAATTGATATTGTTTAGAAAGACTAATATTCTTATCATTCTGATGATCGGAGACTGTACAATTAATTTCAATACAAGACGATGGAAGAATTAAACCACCTGATAAAGTAGGAATGGTTTTTAAATCTTCATACAATTGCGAAACACGTGATGCTGTTTGTGAGTCCACGTTTAAAGACATTTTTTTAATTTAATATATTTTAAATTATTAATATTAGTAATCAACAAGATTAAATAGCTTGATGTCAGCCAATACCCAATTGTAATTGTTTAGAAATTATATATCGTTACATTGTTTCTACTATCACACAAATAAGGGTAAGTGAATATATTTATCATTTTATTCAAAACAAATTTTATTGTTGTTGGCAAGGAGACAATTTTATATTTATCATCATCAGCAGCATTTTCCAAGCCTGAAAAAATGAAGCAGCAAGGAACCTCAGAAGAATTTAGAAGACTGGTCGGAAAGTTGAACAAACACATGAAAAGAGCAATCGAGAAGAAAAGCTACAATTTGGAAGTGAACAGAATATGCAGGTACATTAGAACATTCTTCGATCACAAAGACAATTTAGAGTACACAGAAAGTCTTAGACAACAATTTATTAGATTGATCGCAGAGTGCAAAGGCAAGAAAAAACCAAAACTCCTCAAGATTATTGTTAAAGTATTGCAAGGACTATTCACTGCCGCAAGCAATCAACGAATTCTTGAAATATTTATTAGAAGTTTCAGATCACAACACTTTTACGATAGAATGACGGATGTCATTTCAACCATTAGCTTTAAATATCTTACTAAATTTCAAGTTCAAATTAGAGAATTGATTGCTGTAGTAGATAAAATTAGTTTAGCTTTTGATCTGCAAGATTGTAAGCAAGCAGATTGCCACAATAATGATGCAACACATCTTGCAGAAGTTATCCCCATTCAACATTCAATTTCCATTCAACCACCACCTCCATTGATTCAACAAAAGATTCAAGCCAATAATGATAGTGTCCAAATTTACGAAAATCCACCAATCATTTAAATACTTCATTTCATTATCAAATCCAATAACATTTGTAAATATTGTAAATAAACCTTTGTTTATCAAAAGTTTTTCTATGATACATTTAAAACTTGATAGAAGTGCTCTCGAAAATGTATTCCAAGAAGGCAATGGTACTTTCCTTTGAGGAGAAGGAAGCATTTTCACATGGAACATTTTCATAGAATTCATCAAGATTATTAAAGCTCATGGTGACTTGAGTTAAACGAGCTGGAGTGTAATCCTTTTGGGCAATTAATTCCAAGTTTGAAACTGGACTTCTATTATACTCCTCAATACTCTTAACAACTTGTTCATATTCGAATTTAATACTCCATGAAAAACTAAATTTAATTTGTCTATCTGAGAGGTATTTTTCAGATCTTACGTGTGTAACTGAAATAGTTCTCTTTTTACCATACATGTCATGATCTGTAATGTCCCAGTAAACATTCCAATCCTTATCTTGGAATTGAAGTTTGTGAACTGTTTGTAAAATTAATTTGTAATATGTAACAGGTTGAGAAATAGCATTTTGATTATATGATCTCAAAAGTTGAAAGACTGGATTGTGGACCATGAAGAGTGACTTTAAATAACTTGTCAATGAAACACTATCCTCTACAATATTATTTTGTTTCATCACTGAACTCAATTGAGCATATAAATTATTATAATATTCATGAACATCAACAGCACAGTTATCACCTGGTTGTTGTAATTCAGTTGGAATTCCTCTATTTAAAATTAAATCAATAAGTGAAACAATAAAATGTGGAACATTTGACATTTTCACACCATTCACATAGGTCTTTCCAACCAATCTAGGAACGTCCTTACCAATCACATCATAATTAAAACTGATATCATCTCCTTCTTCCTCTGAGTTTTTACTATCAGATTTAGTTTCAACATGCATGGAAACAATCAACTTTTCCAATTCTCCTTTTACTTCATCCAATGTCATACCTATTTAAATATGTTAAATTATGATTAATTGTTGTTGTAAATTATTATCATCACAGTTTACAATGTTTTAAATATTTAACATTGAAAATCTTGGAGAATAACTTACACATCATGGAAGCATCATTTGCTTCTACAAGATCAAGTGGATCAACTGAAGAAGAGCGAAATGTATTCTTTAGTTTCTTCATTAGCAAATATTTTTTTTGATTTGTTGATGGTTGAGTTGTGGCATTGACAATTGCCCTCTAATAATGTGATGGAACCTTTGATTTATTGTTCCCTTTCATATATAATTATTAGTTAATTCAAAACTGTTTTATCGGTACTCGTTTGTAATGATTTGATCTTCCTCTTGATTATTTGATGAAGATGACAGTGATGATTCATCTTCATCTTCCTCTAAATATTCTACACCTTGCATAGTAGTTGTTGTTGTAGAATTAAAACGTAGTGATGGATTTCTCTTGAGTTCTTCTTGTTGTCTCAAATAGAGTTGATAGTGATAGTGAATTTCTTCTTCATCAACCATTTCCTCTACTAACCGAACAAGAAAATTAAATCTTCTCTTGGTGGCATATCTTTCCTCACGTGCAATTTCATCCCTACTTCTGTACAGATGATTATTGTTGGTAGTGCTGGTGCTGGAATAAGTTGTGTGATGCAAATTATTCATCATTGGTTGTGTTGAATTTGGTTCACTCACAATGACTTGATAAGATGATGAATTAATTGATTGTTCATCAATTTCCCTCTCGTTTGTTTCATTATTATTCATACCATAATTGCTGCTGGGTATGTTATTATTCACATTATTGATGGCAATATCTACAGTGGTTGAGGAATCATTCAATTCGGAATAGTGTTGTTGCTGTTGTTGTTCCTTCTTTTTCTTTCTGGTCACACTTGCTATCCCTCCCAATGCAGAGTTACCAAGAGAGTCAATATCTGTTGATGATGAGATGGTCTTGAGATCTGTTTTCCTCTTCTTTCGTTTTGTTGTTGGTTCTCCATCTATTGAGTTGCTGGTTGGTGAGTCATTATTGGATGCAGATTTGTTTTTGAATTTCATGACTGTATTTCCAAACCATGGTTTTCCAAGTTGGATTGTCCATGCGAATATTTGTTATTAACCAGAGAGGTCGAGTAGGGCATTGTGTGAAATTGGTGTGAAAATAGAGTTGAATTTGTGTGTAATTAAATCAAGAGAGTAGCTCATATTAAGATTGATTTTCACAATGTGTATTACTTACTGTATCGATAGTGAGAGTCACACAATCTACCTCCACAAACATTCTTAAAACCAAATAACTTTTCCACTAAAGCAGACCTATCAGAATTCTCTCCTATCACTGCTCCTCTTTCTCTGAAAATCTGCAACAATATTGAACCAAATATAATATTCAAATTGTCACACACACATTAATATTCCATTAAATACACATACCTTGAAATTAGCTTTTGGTTGAAAAACTAATTCACCCTTTTGCAAGCAACAAACAATACAAAATATGTCACCTTGTGCGTTCTTGTATGGAAATGGTTTACGAATTGTGAAATTATTAGTACCAAAAACAAGATTAGGATCATGTGGATTGGCATCTATTATGAGTGGAGCTGCTGTTATTGTGTTTGATGACATCAATATTTTGCTTGTTGTTTCATCATTCATTGTTGTTGTCATGATTAAAAGTTGTTGCTGTAAATTGTGTCACAATTAATAATTTGTCACGCATACACATTGTATTGATAATATTCATTCCAATTTGATAAAGAGAGATGATGTATATAGTAGTGTGTATAATAGTGGTCATCATTTATGGAGCAAGTGTGTGTGTGAAAACTTCTTGTCACATTCATCTACTTACTGTTCAATGAAATATATATTCTCCACACAAAGTAACTATTATTGCGCTGGAGAGAGTGAATCCTGTTCGTTTTGGTTGTGATGAAAAAAGTCTTCCTAAATTTGTGTGTTGTATCGACAGTATGGTGTGTATCGGTCGTGCAAGCCTTGTGTGACAGTCCAAATGTTGAGAGGATGAAGAAGAAGGTGGCTGTTTTTTTCAATAAATAATTTTTTCATCATCAGCAACACATTTATTATCAAAATTTGGTCACAAGGATGAGAGGAAGATATTGAATCAATTGGTTGAACCTTAAAAGAAGTATGGAATTTGCTATTGAGAAAGAGATGATGATTTGTGTGGTGTTGGAAGAGAAAGTGTTTATTAAGGTGGGGATTTGTGACACGTAGACTTGAGAGCCTTATTCTGGCGCCTTATTTTACAGTTGTAAAAACAAGGCGGAAGAAAATTCAAAAAAAAATGAAAACACCATTGAGTTGTGATAATCTTGTTCGGAGGTTGTGTTACCTAGTTATTAAATTTGATTTGAAGTTGTGCTTTTGAAAATAGAACGGCTCTGCCAGCAATTTTCACTCTTTCACCCTCATGTTTTAAATAGAGAGTACCTTGAAATTTTAAGAGTACACATTGAGTATTATGGAGAAGAAAATAATACTTACCTCCTCTGCTGGAGACTTGTCTGGCTATCATTTCCTTCTTGCCCAAAATATTGGACCAGTAAGGAATAAAGCTGGTGTGGGCAGATCCACAGACAGGGTCTTCATTAACATTCAATTTTGGGAAGAAACATCTCGAAACAAAATCATACTTCTCACTCTTTGAGGTTATCAAGACTCCTAAACCATCAGGTATTTCTCTCAATTTGGAAAAGTTTGGAGTGGCATTAAGAACTTGCTCTTCATTTTCCAAAACAAGAACTAGATCTCTACTAATATGAGCTTCAATTGGTGTTATTCCTAAGGCATCAATTAGTTGTTCACTGATTGTGAAAGGAGTTGGCATTCTACTAGGAAAATCCATTTCAAACAAGTCTTCTTTCTTAACCACAACTAGTTCTCCACTCATAGTTTTAAATTTGAGAATTTTCACTTCCGAATCATAGAAATTATTAATCACAAAAGCAGTGGCTAAAGTTGCATGACCACATAGATCTATCTCTGAGAGTGGTGTAAACCAGCGAAGGTGATAACTTCCATCATCTTCCTTTACTGTGAAAGCTGTTTCGGATAGATTATTTTCAGCAGCAATTTTCTGCATCAATTCATCAGATATCCAATTTTTCATTACACAAACTGCTGCTGGATTTCCTTCGAAAATATTTTCAGTAAAAGCATCCACAACATAACACTCCATTTTTTTTAAATTTATAATTATTGAATAATTTGTTGTAATTTTATTTGTGAAGAATCTTTTCACACACGGTAATCATAATTGATACTACATGTAATCTTTCCACTCTGCATCTCACAAGTGTACAGAAAAGGACTGATAAGGACATATGGACTTCTTTCTTTATCCTTAGTTATTTCCTTCTTTGGCTTTCTTAATCCAATATTTTGCT